ATCTCCCGACCCGTTCTGTGGATTGTGACACGTCATTTTCGCTAGGCAAGTTTTAACGCTTCAAGTTGTTTGCTCTCTAAGAAATTTGTGTTTCGGTGTGTCTCTGGACGAAAGTCGAAAAAAAACTTATTTCGGTGCTCTGGTTCTGAGTCGCTCTTCAAAATAATTGTTCTTGGGTTGAAGAGGAGTCCGAAATTTTGCGTGAATCTTGGTCAGCTATCTTGGGTCTTCAATCTCTGCTGCCAGGGCCGAACTCTGAAACTCAACCCGAACTGAAAACTATTGGACACTCATCTCTGCCTCAGGGCTTGGGGCCTGCCTCGTTTTTATTGACGCCGACAAAAACCGGGTTGGGTCTGTTGGCGTCAAAACCGGGGTTTCCTCGATAATTCTAAATACATATCCACCTCTTTTTATTTCTGGTTAGGGATTTTCCACTTTTTCCATTTTTGGTAACTTTTTCTCACTCCCACTTTCTCACCATGCTTTTGAGGGGCGTGAACTGCCCTCCCCACTTCTTCGTAGCAGCTTCTCATACTTATACTCTGGATGGGGGGCGTCGACAGCCTTCTTCGTGCGTCACGTGATCACCACTCGCCAATGAGGTCTTGGTCGGGTATCTTTCCTCCTCCTTCGTGCGTCATGTGATCACCACTTGACCAATGATGTCTTAGTCGGGCGTGAACAACCCGCGGCTTTGTTTCGGAAAAAAATACCTTGCTTAACTAAAAAAATTATTATTTTCTTTTCCTTTTTTTCCTTTCAAATCGCCGTTATCATGAACGGATAATATGACAACTCTTTGTTCAACACGTGGCGTTTGTCAAGTAGTTTATCGCTAATTCATCAGATGGCTGGTTTTCCGACATGGTCTCAGAAAAGAATTTTCTCCAAAAATTTCAGTCAGTCTGTCGTCTCCAAGGAAGAAATAAAAAACATTTCTTATTCCATTCATTTTCCTTCGGTTCATGTGTCTGATAACAAAATTTTATTATCGCAGGGCAAAAGTTTGTTTTGTCGAAAAAAAAATTAATTAGCGAGACGGCTTGTGGGGATTTTAATTTTTTCATATCTATCCAAAGGCCTTTTTACACCTGTGTTTTGTCAATTATCAAAATCTAACGTTTTCAAAAAATGGACTTTTTCTTTGGCAAACATTTCTTGATAACACAATTCCATTCGCGGAGGCCAAAGGGAAATCGGTCAATGATTGCTCGCAGGTGGTCTTTAATTTTCATATCTGTCCAAAGTCTTTTTTTTTCGCCCTGTTTCTTGTCGTCACTTATCGAAATAACATTTTCGCTTTGTCTTTTTCCTTGGCCTGGTTTTGTTTTGATAATAAGATGCCTTCTCGTACCAATAGTTTAGATTTCACTTCCTTAGATAACACTTCCTTTTCCAAATCTCATTGTCATTGTAATGACACTTTTTCGCCATTTGCCACTTATCCAAAATAATACCCTTTTTTTTTATTGCCTCTTAAAAATTGTGTGTGTGTTCGCTTATCACCTATGATCCGTCTCGCATTACTTTTTCCCTTCCTTTCTTCTTTTCTTTCCTTTTCCCTTTTTGCCTTTCTTTCTCTGCCTGGATGCATGGTGCCACATATAGGTAGATTGATATTTGATAATGATACGACCCTCTGTAAAATTTACAGTTGAAGAATAAAGAATAACAAGAAACAGGATAAAATAAGAGGCAAACACAGAAAATTAAAAAGGCTAAATTCAATGAAATCAACAACAAAAAAGAACGAATAAATCCCAACCAATGAAACAAGAGAAATACTTTAAAATAAGCATAAATATAAAAAAAAATAATCAGTAACCTCCCCAAAAGTGAAAAATTAACATAAAGTTTGGGATCTTCCATGTTAACCAACTTTTATTTTTTTTTTATATAATGCATTTTCCTATCTGGTAAGTAAAATCCTACTTTCATACAAATATAACAAAATTCATTGGTCAATCAAGTCCAATCTATTTTTTATTTGATTGGCCAAATTTTTTTTGATCAAACCACCTGCACGCGACCAATCTGTTTTCCCTGCTCATATTGGGAGCCTTTCGACCATTATATAAACTCAACACGTGTAAAACCCCTCGATAGTTTTTTTTTTTTCATTCATCTTTCCTCGCACGCCTCATTCCAAAATACCAAACTGCCAAGATATAACCTTCAAGAACTCCCGTCTTAGCAAGGTCTGGATGGCCAGACGTTAAAGATTTTAATTACCAACATTCAGGAACTGGAGTGAAATCACTTTGAACTTTTTTATCAACTTTGCAACTATATCAATCCAAATTATTCTTCTAAATTACAAGTTTAATATTACTTCTTTTTAATATGAACTTAAAAACCAATACCTAATTGTTTTTTCAAACTCTGTCCTACCTTTTCAGTTCGCATGCATGTATAAAAAAACAAAAAAAAATTTAATTGTTATTTTTAAAATCATTCCGTTCAGTTTTGTATTTTTAATAATATGTGATATTTACGTCAAATATAAATTGCATTGCGTTCACGCATTGAAGTTATTCTCACCTTTTAGCCAAAGTTAAATATTGAAAACAATTAATATAGAAGATGGGTAAAAAACGTCCGTCGTTCGACGTTCACAACAACAATAGTAAATACAAACCATTACATATTTAGTGATCCTGTCGGAAATAAACAACAATGGTAACCCCTATTACTACAAAGTAATTCAGACAGAAAAAAAAAACTACCTAAAAATAATCCATCCAGGGTAAGAAGATAAATTATTCAAGCGTCCTGGGTAAGACAGTGAACTACACCCGACAGCAAAGACACTGATCAGGAGGCTTTAGAATCGTGGAATCACCTCTTAACTGCTGGTTCATTTATAGATCAATTTTGACCTGAGGGGTAAATATTTTTTAAGGTCCCAGCTATATTTTTTTTAGTTAACTACCTTTACTTTTAAAAAAACACTATAAAAAGATGAATAGGTTTTAATACAATAATAAGTTTTTTTACATAAAAAATTAATGTAATAATTTTTTTTTTATTATGTTTCAATACATTATTGTCAGCAAACATTTTTTAAAAAATTTCATTAGTAATATATCTTTGAAAATAAAAATATTAACATGAACAAGTGTCATTAAAAAAAAAAAAAAATAATATTAAAGTATTAAAAAATGTTGGAAATATTAAATAAACCCATTGGGGTTGATATGCCGTAAAACAAAACAAACCAAACAAAGCTAAAAATTTAAAAATTTAATGAAATAAAAAATGAAAAACATAAATAGAACAATTTTTTTTTAATTAGCATTTGGTTTCGTTTTTCTAAAATTCCAAATATTGGTTGATTCGCAATACAAATATTGCATTCGAATGAAGAAAGATAAAGAAAATAGCTGGCGTCGGCCTTCGGAGACGTATCGGTTGGTATTCAATTGTTTTTTTTTCATGATTGAAATGACCAGCTTTATAAGAAATCAATATATTCAATTCATACAATACTGTTTTCAACGTCAATATTATTATTTTTTTCATTAGTGGTCGGTGTGTGACAATCGAATCTATTTTGTGTTCCTTTTGATTGTATTTCGTGATTCGGTTGTAAAGATGGCGTCTTTTCATTTACCGAGACAAAGAAAAGGAAGAAAAATATATTAAACGAAACCAAAGCAAAAAGAAAAGAAAACCGAAGAGAGAAAAAATAAACTTTAATTGATCTGAAAAGCAACAAAATGATATTCTTTCTATTTATTTATATTATTTATCTATTCATCTATTAATTAATTATCTATCATATTTAATCTATCTATCTCAAATCAAATCATCTATCTATCTATCTATCTATCTATCTATCTATCTATCTGTGTCTTTTATCACTGTTTGAATGACCTATCTATATATCTTGTTTTGTATTTTCTTTTTCATATATCTATCTATCTATCTATCTATCTATCTAACTATCTCATCTATCTTTCTCTATCTATCTATCTATCTAATTCTTTTCCATCACTTATTTGAATTTTATCATCTCTATTTCTCAATTTTGTATGTTCTTTTCATCTATCATCATCTATCTATCTCATATCAATATCATTTATCTATCTATACTCTTTTCCATCACTGTTTGAATGACCCATCTATATATCTGTCTTTTTATATGTTCTTTTTTTCATTATCTATCTATCTATCTATTATTCATCTATCTATCTATCTGTGTCTTTTTATCACTGTTTGAATTACCCATCTATATATCTGTCGTTGTTATTTTCATCTTCAATCTATCTATCTATCTATCTATCGTTTCTATCTATCTATGTTATTTTTCCATCATTTGAATTACCTATCTATATATCTGTCGTTGTATGTTCTTTTCATCTATCTATCTATCTATCTATCTATCTATCTATCAATCTATCTATCTATCTATGTCTTTTCCATCACTGTTTGAATGACCTATCTATATATCTGTCTTTGTATGTTCTTTTCATCTATCTATCTATCTATCTATCTATCTATCTATCTATGTCTTTTCCATCACTGTTTGAATGACCTATCTATATATCTGTCTTTGTATGTTCTTTTCATCTATCTATCTATCTATCTATCTATCTATCTATCTATCTATCTATGTCTTTTCCATCACTGTTTGAATGACCTATCTATATATCTGTCTTTGTATGTTCTTTTCATCTATCTATCTATCTATCTATCTATCTATCTATCTATCTATCTATCTATGTCTTTTCCATCACTGTTTGAATTACCTATCTATATATCTGTCTTTGTATGTTCTTTTCATCTATCTATCTATCTATCTATCATCTATCTATCATCTATCTATCTATCTATGTCTTTTTCATCACTGTTTGAATGACCCATCTATATATCTGTCTTTGTATGTTCTTTTCATCTTCATCTATTCATCTATCTATCTATCTATCTATCATTATCTATCATCTATGTCTTTTTCCATCACTGTTTGAATGACCCATCTATATATCTGTCTTTGTATGTTCTTTTTTCTATCTATCTATCTATCTATCTATCTATCTATCTATCTATCTATCTATCTATGTCTTTTTTTCCATCACTGTTTGAATTACCTATCTATATATCTGTCTTTTGTGTTGTTTTTTTCATCTATCTATCTATCTATCATTCATCTATCTATCTATCTATGTCTTTTCCATCACTGTTTGAATGACCCATCTATATATCTGTCTTTGTATGTTCTTTTTCATCTATCTATCTATCTATCATCTATTCATATCTATCTATCTATCTATCCATTCATCTATCTATCTATCATATCATCTCAATTTGTTCATATCTAACTGTCGCATGTAACAGAATCAAGATGTTGCCAAAATGAACTTTGAGCTCATTATTAAGTCAGAGTTTCAGAGAAGGTAAAACACATCGGGCGTTCAACTGGAGATTGCCTTTCTAACTGCCGGTTGTGTATTTGTGTTTTCAATTGATGTCAATGACTGCCTCAGGGATGTAAATATGTGGCGGACATAGGATTTTCACGCATTGAATAAAAAATATAACAGTTACATATATAAACATTTGAAAGCAAGAGATAAGAAAAAATCTTTTTCATATTAATCTATCTATCTAGCTAGCTCGCTCAGTCTGTTCATATCTGTCTAGCTAGCTCAGTCTATTCACATCTATCTATCTATTTATCTACCTTTCTAGCTAGCTGAGTCTGTTCATATCTATCTATCCATCTATCCCAGTCTGTTCCTATCTATCTATCTATCTATCTATCTATCAATACTCTGTAGAAAGCAAAAAGTAATACAGAAGTTTCCTCCGTCGAGCGGTATCTCAAATGGGTCCATTACAGTGAATGCCTTAATAAATATTTTACTAACTAGACTCTCACCGCTCTATGAAATCACCTCCTCACAACCCAATTTGGCTTTTGCTAATAATGATGGCATATATGTCATCAAACGACTGCATGAGATAACGTACCTGCTATTCACAACACTATTTGATCTCATCAATAGACTTCCTTTTCTCACCCAACAGAAACTGTCTTCGAAGCTCTGACTTCTCTGTCAGTCTAAAGCTATTAAAGGAATTGTATTGATCTACACAGTCGAATATGTATAGTGAAGAAGCCCAAAAGAGAATCATTTCAATATAAATATTTCTATATAGTTAGAGAAAGTTTTACAAATAGATGCCAACTTTTGGAAGGCTAAGTGAAATACAAATTTCAAACACTTTTCTGAAATATATAAGACAATATTTCTAAAAAGAAACTATTTTTGATTTGAAAGTCAAAACAGTCATTGAAGAAAAGAACACTAATGATCGGCAGTTAATTAATGAAATATACTTTTTTAAAATCATATGCAAATTAGCTAAACCTGAAGATTAATAGCACCTAAAAGTATATATTATATAAGATACTGAGTTTTAGCCTGCAGATTACTATATAGTCGTTGAGCAGTCTCTGACTGTGTGCGACTTTTGTTGAGCTCTCTACTTTGGTAGAGAGGAACCTGGACGACGCTTTGCCGAAGGGCAAATTTCTTCCGGGGAGGTAGACAGATTTCGAACCCGCTTATGCGGGTTCTAATGGAATATTTTTGGCCGAGCTTACGTTAAATTCGGCCTTGTGCCACATACATTCTTCGTAGGGGGACTGTTAAATATACAGATTACTATAAAGTAGAGTTGTAGCTTTTTTTAACCTCACAATTCTTTGGATAATTTTGCTTCAATTTCGCGTTTATTCATATACATTCTATAATATAGGTTTTACTTAATTAGCTATTATGTTTCTCTAATTCTTCAAATGTTGAATGTATAACTAATTAATTCTAATTTCTATTTTCCCATCTTTATACTATATTAATTTTATTTTATAAACTGTCCCCTGTTCTGTCACACATGCAATAAAAATAATTGGTTGTATGGAAAATAAGGATCTATGTACATCAAACCATCTTTAAATTAAGTGGCAGCAAGAGAATCAATTTTGAGTTCTTCTGTAGTTTATTGATGCCTATCGTCACTAGCTATTGTGATGATGGCCAAACGAAGAGTCCTCCACAGAAGCTAGCTTAATTGCCACCCGATGAAATATACAAATCAGCCTTGTGCTACATTCTGCCTTGTGGGGAGTAAATACCAGCTGTATCAAGCAAGGCAGTTCGCTGCCAGATCCGCGTGAAGCTTGTCGAATTCTCCGGCAGAGAGGAATCTGGACGAGGGTATGCCGAAGTGCAGAGTCTCGTCTGGGGAGGTAGACAAACCCGACCCCGTGTATGCAGGGCTTAAAGGGAATTGTTGCCCGAGCCCAGGGGATCGGATTTGCCCACCTAAAAATCAACCTTGTGCCATATCCTGTACTGTTTGGTTTGATTTGGCAAATACCTGCTGTTTCCAGTCAGGCAGTTCGCTGCAAGGCTCGCGACAGATTTTTCGAACTCTCTGCTTCCGGGCAGAGAGGAACACAGACGAGGATATGCCAAAGGGCAGAATCACGTCTGGGGAGATAGACGTACGCGACCCCGTGTATATGGTGTCTAGGGCGAATTTTTACCCGAGCCTACAGTCCCGAATCGCCCTACATAGCGATCGGCCTTGTGCCATATCCTGACTTGTGGGGAGGTTAGTAAATACCAGTTGTTTCGAGTTAGGCATTTCGCTGTCTGGCTTGTTACCGACAAGGCTGTCTTCAGTAGAGAGCGATTCAGTCGTTGCTCAGTCTACCGATAAAGACTCAAAGTAACCGTTACCCGCAGTTGTCGGGAATGGGTACATTTTGATCAGCTGATAGAGTTTTCGTGTTCGGGTTCTCCACGTTAAAACTGACCTTGTGTCAGGTGCCCTCTAAATAGGGAGGCATGGGTAAATACCTAGCTGTTTGGAGTCTGGGGGTCCGTTGCTTGGTTCAGATTTTCAAGCTCTCTGTGTAGACAGAGAAAAAAAGAAAAAAAACTCAGTCGTGTCTCTTTCTCCGGACGGAGACTCGGCTGAGAAAAACAAACAAGCAATGTACTTTTGCGGAGGCTGGGTAAATTTTGACCAATGGCACGGGTAGAAAAGCTCGGGTTACCACAATAATATCGACATTGTGTCGCATCTGATCTCAGTGGAGGGACTGAGCAAATAACTAGAGGTTTGGGGACTAACTATACAGGGGTCATGGCAAGTAGTTGAAACATTGCGTTTAGAGGATCCTAAAAAGAAGTACGGTATATAAATTAAGAGTGTGTTATAAGAATAGTCATATAATAGAGGCGTTATAATGTTGGCAACTAGGCCTTTGAAGCTCAGACGATTTATAACCGTTGTGTCAAGGATTCGGAACTTTTACAACTTATAACCGTCGTAAAAAAGGATTTTGGAAAGTCATACGATTTTTAACTGGAGTTAAAAAGTTTCAACCACGTTGGTTTAAAACAAAACATACTCTTGCGAATATGGAGAAAATTTTGCCTTCCATAGTTGAAATTCAACAACAACAACAGCAAAAACAGCAGCAACAGCACAATCAACAGTTGCTAGAACTGCAAAACCAGCAACAAAAGTTGTTGAATATTATTCAGATGAAACAAAAAAAAAAGAAAAGAATTCTTCAGCGTCTCTTACGCCAGACGCTGTTCAAAACACCATAGAATTTGTATACAATCCTGATGAATGAATCACTTTTTCTGTGCATTTCATAAATATGAACAATATCTTGGAAATACACATATGCCGGTGACAATATGAACTCGTCCATTAATATAAAGAGCTCCAGACATGTTAAACGTTTGGAGTCAGTTTTCAAACTAACAATACAGCCGTCACGACAAGTAGTCGTAAAATTACGTTTAGAAGATCCCTATAAAAAGTACGTCATATAAATTAAGAGTGTGTTATAACAATAGCCATATAATAGTGACGTTATAATAGTGACGACGAAGGATTCGAAACTCAGACAATTTATAACCGTTGTGTCAAGGATTAGGAACTTTTACGACTTATAACCGTAGTAAAAATGATTTTGGAAAGTCATACGATTTTTAAGTGGAGATAAAAAATTTCAACCACGTTGGTTTAAAAAAATATATTCCTGCGAATATGGAGAAAATTTTGCCTTCCATAGTTGAAATTCAACAATAACAACAGAAGAAGTAGTAACAACAGAGTCAACAGTTGTTAGAACTACAAAAACAGCAACTAATTTGTTGGATATAATTCTGAAGTAAATAAAAAATTCTTCAACATCTCTTACGTCAGATGCTGTCCAAAACACCATATCAGAATTTGTATACAATCCTGATGAGAGACTGACTTTTGCTCCGTATTTTCGTATATATGAACAAATGTTCAGTCAGGAATCCAGCAGCTGGGAAGATGAAGGAAAACGAGATTGTTGTTGTGAAAAATAGCCCCAACAGACTATTGAAAATACTGCAACTATATATTACCGAGAAGAACAGGTGAAATTGGGTTTGAAGGCACGGTACACATTCTAACGAAAATCTTTAGCGACAAGTGCCCTCTGTTTTATGCTCGTTGGAGGTCCATGAATCTAACCAAAAAAGAGGTCGATTTTGTCACGTATATTGGTTATCGTCAATAAACAATGTGAAAAGTTTAGAATAAACGAAATGACTCCACGTATGTTCAAAAGACTAACTTTCGTGCAAGGTTTAACAGCTAAAACAGCTGCTGAAATAGGAGCGAATATTTTAGCAAAAATTGAACAAAACTGCAAGACTGCAAGAAATAGTGGACGATTGCCAGACAATGCTAAATCTGAAACACGATGCTGAAGAAATTCAGAAAAAGAATCTGCCTTGGTAAAAGCAAAGAAAAAATGTAGAAAAATAAATCCTTGTTTCAGATGTAAATTACATTTCGGAAAAGACTGTCTATTTAAAAAATCAGAATGTTACAAGCGTGGTAAACGATGACATATCAAGTTACACTGCAAAACCAAACCAAGAAAAAATCTCACAGGAAGAAATTATAACACAGTATTGCGACGGAAAAAAGGTCACAGAAAACAAAAGGAATTTTGTAAATATGAAAATAAATAATATAGGTGTGAAAATGCTACTGAACATTGGGAGTGATATTTCAATAATCAGTGGAACCACATAGACGATTGTAAAGATTTTATTAAAAGGGAATTCTAAAGAGTCGATTTCATTTTCTGGTGGGAATTTTTATTTGAGAATTTGCAATGTCTTTTTTGTAATAGGCATGTAAAAATTTAAAGTTTATGCACTAAGAAATTCTAAGAATTTATTCGATACTGACTGGATGGAACTATTTGAACTTTGGGATTTGCCGTTTAACGTTTATTTTAAAAACATAAGTGGACAAGCAACCAATTTAAAAAGTCAGAGCGAACATCTTAAAGAAGAATTAAAAAAATGTTTTTTCCGATGTTCTGTCAAAAAACTGCGTCGGTGTTCAAAATTCAAGGGATATTTTCAAATAAAAGTGGTTTGACACCGAATGCGGGGGCAGGGTAAATTTTCACCAATGACCAGAGTGGAACAACTCGGGCTCCTCACAGAATTCTCGACATTGTGTCACATCACATCTCAGCATGTGTGTGCGGGGTGTATTGGTAAGGGAATGAGCCGTTCCAGCGTAGCCCAGCTGGCGTCGCTGATTCGGCGTGGTCGATTCGGCGATGAATTTTTTGGCTGAGGGACGATTAGGCGTCAGATTATTATTTCTCCCTCCCTCTCTCTTTCTCCCTCCCTCGTTTAGTAATCAAATTAGTACTTCGTCGTTATATGCTCAAATAGTCCAATTTAAGAAAAAGAGTAGTTGGAGACATTTTTAAATTTTAGAAAAAGAAATTTATTGATTCCTTACAGAAAGTTCAGAAAGGATGTGTTGCATTTCTCGAGAAGTTGATCGCTGGATATTGATCCCACCAAAAAACTAAAAAATAGAGAGATGCTGACGAACGAATTATAAAAGACATAATGGAAGTTGAATCATTAGATCCTTTTGAGTTCCTGGAGAGTGTTGCTCATAATTACAAAATCAAGAAGTAATTTCTAAGATTAAATAGCTTTACTAAGTTTATTTTTTAATCTTTTGGAAATACAATACAAAGTTTTTAATTTGCATGATTCCATTAGTGTTTTAACCGGACCCTTAATTCCCTAAATGAATAAAAAGTCATTTTGAAAGTTGGGTTTTTTCAATGCTTTTATCCTTTTTTGTGGGGTTTGCTTCCAATCAAAGACAGTGACGTCGAAACAGTCTGACGCCTAAACGACTGTGTCGAATAGTCCAATTATTTTTTTCTGACGCCGAATCAACTAGAATGAATCATTGACGCCAAGTGGGTTACGCCGAACCGTACCAAACCCGGGGGTGCTATGCCGATGACATTAGTAATCATAGTTTGGATAAGAATGGTTTCGGACAAAATTCAGTATCCTTTGCCAAGTCTTTCGAGAAATAGGACAAGATATTCATTTCCAAATGAGAAATTGATTCGGAATTGGAAGTGATGGCACCTACCCTGATTCCATCATAAAATTCAGGAGGTGGAATTAGTAAATACAAAACACTTCAAACATCTCAGCGTAAAAATCGATGTAATGTGAAATTACATATGAAAGAGTGAAAAGTGATTCGCCAGTTGAATAAACAATATTTTTATTTTAAGTTTTTAATTTACATTTATTCCATTAATGTTTTAAACGGATCCTTAATTCCTTAAATGAATAAAAAGTCATTTTGAAAGTTGGGTGTTTTCAATATTTTTATCCATTTTTGAGGGATTGCCTCCAGTCAAAAACAGTGACGTCAAAACAGTCTGACGCCTAAACGGCTGTTCCGAATAGTCCAATTATTTTTCTGACGCCGAATCAGCCTCGACGAATCAGCGATGAGAAGCATTACGTATAGAAAATCCTTATAAGAAGTACGTCATATAAAGTAAGAGTGTGTTATAACAATAGCCATATAATAGTGACGTTATAATAGAAATTAAACAAAATAGCCCTTCTTTAGACTGGCTGTATAAGAAGGATGTGTCAGGGAAGACATCTTTACAGTCACATATAGATACTTATGAGCAATGAGAGACTGTCTAAGAGAACTGGGTTACCCGACCGGAAGTTATTTCTCACTAGTGTCCTACCCGAAGGCTTATACTATATTTTACTCAAATAGCTATCGCTATATCGCGCATATAACTATCATTAGATTCTATTTAGTTCCTGGAGGGTGTCGCTCATAATTACGAAATGAAGTAATTTCTAAGATTAAATAGCTTTACTAAGTTATTTTTAAAAAATTTTTGACATACAATATTTTTAATTTAAGTTTTTAATTTACATTATTTCATTAGTGTTTTAATAGGATTCTTAATCCTCTAAATGAATATAAAGTCATATTGAAAGTTGAGTGTTTTCAATGCTTTTATTGGGAGGTGGGGCCTCCGGTCAAATACAGTGACGTCAAAACAGTCTGACGCTGAAAAGACTGTGCCGAATATTCCAATTGTTTTTCTGACGCCGAATCAGCCTCGACGAATCAGCGATGAGAAGCATTACGTATAGAAAATCCTCATAAGAAGTACGTTATATAAAGAGTGTCTTACAACAATAGACATATAATAGCGGTGTTATAATAGGAATTAAACAAAACAGTGCTTCTTTAGATTCGATGGGCTGGCTGTATAGAAGGATGTGTCAGCGAAGACATTTTTACAGTCACCTGTAGATACTTGTGACCAATGAGAGACAGTCTAAGAGAACTGGGTTACCCGACCGGAAGTTATTTCTAACTAGTACCCTACCCGCAGGCTTATACGCTTTTTTACTCAAATAGCTGTCGCCATATTGCGCACATAAATGGCGTATATAATATAAAAATAGATGCCATGAGAAAACATGGCTTCGTATATTTTTATCCGAACGTCACTTTGTTCTCGTGCTTCTCTCTTTTATTCACTAATATTATTAATAATAATAATAATAATAGCATACCAAGAACCTCATCCCCTCCAATGCTACGATATATCTTATCCTCCTTATTCTCTACTTGAATAATATCATTAATAATAATGATGACAATGCAACTCTGACGAGTGAAATGCGCAGATAAATCCGAAGAAAATAAATTTCCTTCATTGAAATTACATCCCTACTGGCGATTGATAGGGAACCGGAAAATATGCAATGAGCCATGTTTAAAAATGGCTTTTAGATTTTGCGGGCTTATCAATCAGCCAACAATTTGAATATTGGAAAGGTAAAAGTTTTGGATATATTTGAAAATATATCCTGTATTATCTTATTTGAGAATTCTATATGGGAAGAGAAAGAGTGGATGGATGGTTGTGTCTCATAAATGGGTGGAGATCTGAATTGGTGAAACGAAGACATAGCGGGACGAAGGCATCTGGAATTTGAAGGAAAGATAAAATGTCGTCAAACTTTTGCTTCTGCCTCTCTTCTCTTTCGTTTGATTGTTCGTTCTTATTCTGATTTATTCTTGATTTGATTCGCATTTTTAAAAAATCTTATTACACCATTTATTTCACGATTTTTATGATTCGTACTTGTTCGATTCTAGTTTTTATTATTCTGTTTCTAATACTTTCATCGTCACATCTCTCTCTCTCTCTCTATATATATATATATATATATATATATATATATATATATATATATATATATATATATATATATATCTTTAAATTGCATTTTTTATTATTCTACGTTTCTTCACACCTTCCCATGCCTCCATTCGTGTTTTTCATCTTTTTTTCTCGCATGAACGCCATCATCACAGTCATCGTTCTTCCGAAAACATTTCGCCTGCCATTTTTACTTTTGTTTCATCCTCTTTTCTTTCCTATCTTTCTTTCTTTCTTTCTTTCTTTCTTTGTCGCTTTTTTCTTAACTTCTACCTCTTTCGTTATTTTTCAAGATTCTCTTTCTTTCTTTTCGCTTTTGTCTGAGCTTCAACCACTTTCATTCTTTATTACTTTTTCATTTTCTTTCTTTCTTTCTTTCTTTCTTTCTTTCTTTCTTTTCTCTTAATTTCAACGTCTTTATTTTTTTCATGTTTCTCTTTCTTTCTTTGTCGCTATTCTCTTAACTTTTTGATTTTCTTTCTTTCTTTCTTTCTTTCTTTTCAGTATCAATTCTTTCTTTCTCTTATCTATATTCATATTTCCTTTCAACATCAATCCTTTATTAATTTTCATTCATTCTCCCTCTACTTCTTTCTTTCTTTATATCTTTCTTTCTTTTTTCACTTCTTTATTTCTTTCTTTCTGTCACCATCGATTCCTTCTTTCTTTCTTTCATTGTTTTTTATTGATTCTTAACTTCAACATTTTTCTTTATTTTTTTCATGTTTCTGCTTTTTTCTTTCTGTCTTTCTTTATTTTTTCTTTCTTTTTTTTGTTGCTTTTCGCTTCAACCTTCTTTACAACTTTTTGGTTTTCTTTCTTTCTTTCTGCAAAATTGCTTTTTTTTGTTTTCACTCAATTTTCTTTCTTTCTTTCTTTCTTTCTTTCTTTCTTTCTTTCTTTCTTTCTTTCTCATCCCCGTCTCTTTCATCTCATTCTTACATGATTTCCTACTTGTTCCTTTCCATTTCTTCTTTCTTCAACTTATTTCACTTCATTCGTCATTATTTTTTTCTTTCTTACATGTTCCTCCTTTCATCTTTTTTCTTTCCATCTTTTCTCATCCATTCTTTTTTAACCTAATTACTTTTCCCCGCTTTACTTTTTCCTTCAAATCATTTTTCTTAGTTACTTACTTCACTTCCTTCTTTGATGCACGTCTTTAATTTCATTCCTTCCTTTGTTTTCTTTCTCTTTATTGCATTCCTTCCTTCCTTCCTTCCTTCGTTCTTTTTTCTTCCTCTTCTTATTCCCGTCCATCTTTATTTCGTCATTATTTTTCTCTTTTGCTTTTTCGTCATTAAACTTCTTCCTTCTTTCCTCTTGGCATCATTTATATTCTTCTTTTCTTTTCTTACTGAATCGGGTAGACACTTAACTAACTGATTATCTTTTTATCTGCGAGGGCAATATTTATAAAGACGCCATTGATAAGATGTTAAAACCCACCGATAATTGCTGCTTTAACTGCAGACATTTTTATCTTCTAGTTTCGGAAAAACCCATTGAAAGGGAAGAGAAATAAATATATTCAGAAGTAAACACACACATACTCGCAAAAGTGTTTAAAAATGAAATAAAATTCTGAAGAAGCAGATTTCTATAGTAAGATCATTCAGAATGTGTTGCTATAACGAATCTATTTACAATGTACAATAGATTTCTATAGCAAGATCATTCAGAATGTGTTGCTATAACGAAACGATTTACAATGTACAATACATTTCTATAGCAAGATCATTCAGAATGTGTTGCTATAACGAAACGATTTACAATGTACAATAGATTTCTATAGTAAGATCATTCATAATATTTTGCTATAATGAATTTATTTAAAAGTGACAATGGATTTCTATGGTAAAATTTTGCAACTTTATGGAGAATGGAATTTCTTGAAATAGAATTTTGCAGAAATATAATTTCAAATTGAATTCTGCGCCTATGTAGTTTATTAATTCACAATTCATTTTTCTTGTAAAACCAAATTATAATCGATTTCTGCAGCAAAGGCTTACAATTAATGAGATAGGTGACATATCTTGCCAAGTTAATTCATCCATAAGTTAACAATTCAGACATCGCGGACATAAAGGGTATAGTGTGTAATAAAATGTCTCAAAGAACTCATCTCCCATTGAGCGTTCTTCTCTACTCACGAACTCGACAGTCTGACAGAACCTAATAGAAATTTTGACCTGACCAAGCAATATGGCAACAGTCATTCACGGTCTAATGTCGTGTTCGCTGAAGCATAGTAGCCAATGTCGTGGTTTCAGTAATGGTATCCGTAGCGATCGATGACTAGGAAACATCAAGGAATGTAGTCTAGTCTTTCGCAATACGATGATTGACGGGTTAAGCCACAGAGGACCTAATTTGATGCCTTCTTTGAATCGTTACCATCCTTTTGATTTGCTAGCCATATGTGGGTACGTGCAGTTTTCATGTACAGATAGTCCTGTACCTTTTTAATCATTTCACACCAATCAAAGCGAGAAAGCCACTCAGACGCCGGAGGTGGGTAGTGAGAGTGAAGGAAACTGAGATAAAGTTACTGGAGATGAACTACTGTAAAAAGAACAGGGTTCAAGTAGACAGAAGGTAACGATTAATGATGCATCCAAATCTTTAAATTGTAGTTGATCGGAAAGCAAAAATCTTGTAGAGACTTGGCGTGAAATGCAAAAGAAGAAATTATTAGAATATAACGTACAATCACATTTAGCAAGTTCGACGGTAAAATCATGAGACCTAACTGCCAATATAATATCATACTTAAAATTACAACCCATATTGGCAGAGCAAAACGCCTACAGATGCTGCTATAACGGGAACAGATGTCAGAATATTTCAAGCACCGAACAGCAATTTGCTTATCTCTTCGATAAACGCTTTCCATGTAGAGGCTGTGAAGTCGGTATCTATACCTATGGTACTCAGGGGAATGTCTTAACGTACGATGTTTTTTCCTTCATCGGAAAAGAAGTCTTTATCTTTTATCCGTTAGCAGAAATATATATTTTAATTACAATCACCGTTTGTAACCATTTGGTCTGAGGCTATAATTTTTCTTTTATTATTAATGACAGGGAAGAAGCATACATTAAAAAAACAATTTCAAAGAACAGTTCTCCCCAAAATATTTGTCTAATTTCTTATATATATATATATATATATATATATATATATATATATATATATATATATAAAGTTAACATTGAACAGCTGAGTGTTGACTTCAATGTTCACTTTTATATTTACATATACTCTATCTCTGTTACTGGGCACTTTATCCCATAAACAGAGCATACATAAAACTATATATTCTTTAATGAACATATGCAGTTTATATATATATATATATGTGTGTGTGTGTGTGTGTGTGTGTGTGTCTGTAATCTTGTGTGTGTGAATGTGCGTTGTGTGCACCCCACAAAATGTCCTCACTTTTTTTTTATCTATTTCAGTGTATTCATATGGATCTACCTTAGACTGTGTGTTCTCTCTCTCTCTCTCTCTCTGAATAATTGCTTTATAAATATGCACAATATATATATATATATATATATATATATATATATATATATATATATGTATATATATATATATATAATGAATTGAGTTCTCTCGATTAATGGTGTTTTTTTTTTAAAAATAAATGCTCTATAATTCACCTTCCTCTCTGCCGTGCGGGAGGTAAAACCACAAGTGGTTCTGAACCCCTTTATTTAGTTCAAATGGCTATTTTTTGGCCGAGCCTAATGGCTCGGGAATGCCACAATACAGTTAAAAAGGCCTTGTGCCACATGATTCCCTCGTGGGGTGGGGGGTGACTGAATATCGCCAGTCTTTCACTTTCTGAGCGACTGTTCGGTTATACTCACTTCCTACGGGCGGGAGGAACCCGAAGGAGGCTACGCCGAAGGGCGGAGTCTCATTCGGGGAGGTAAAACCGGCCCTGAACCCGTTTATGCGGGTTCAATTGGCATATTTTTTTTAAAAAGGCTTTGTGCCACATGACGCCATCGTGGGCGGGGACTGAATATCGTCAGTCTTTCAAGTCGAGTCAAGAGTCGAGTCAAACCAGTCCGAAACTGAGTCGCGTTCAGACAATTACTGCAAGACATTGGAATAGTGATACTGGTCGAGACTGCATTGTTCTCTCTACTAAACCTGATTGTTCATACTAACACTTCTACTTCTCTGTATATATTCCTTTTTTGTAATATATCTGTGTTATTCCATACCTGTGTTCGCGTTCTTCTTTATTGGTTCTACTTTGGACTATCACCGTGGTACAAGGAACCGGACCATAACAATATATATATATATATATATATATATATATATATATATATATTACATGAATCATTCATACAAAAAGTAGATTAATAAAGTTAATGATATAAATGGCGAAAAACATCTTCGCAAACAATTTTTAAAGTTGCATTAACCTACGAATCACTCGATGAATGTTATGATCCTTATTTTTAATAACTTCAAGTTGTATAGGTCTTTTTTAATCTGCTAGTACTTTTTGTATGAATGATTCATCTAATATAAATTGAACTGCACCACATATTTGATTTAAAAAGAACTGATTCGACGTGCAAATTGTTGGGAAAACAACTGAGACATTACTCTATTTATTAAACAATATAGTTCATGCCACATTGACTGATAAACTCCCACAACTACAAAAAATCTCAAATTACTATATTAGTAAAAAACGTACTCTCTTAAATTTGCAAAAAAAAAATTCAACCTTAGCGTTGCGACTGCACGCTCCATAACTTCTTATCCGTTAACAATAACACATTTCTAAAAAAAAAACATTTTGATTCGCATTTAATTTTTCGTCTCCGCTAATACCTGGATTTACTAAAAACAAAATAATTTCCATGCCTGAGGATGACTGTATGTACAGTTGAAAGTACTTGCAGATTAAAAAAAAGACTTTATACAACTTGAAGTTATTAAAAATAAGGATCATTATGATTCATCGAGTCTTCCAAGTTAAAAAACTTTTGCAAATTGTTTGTTAAGATGTTTTCGCCATTTATATCATTAACTTTACTAATCTACATTTTGTATGAATGATTCATGTAATAAAAATTTAACTGCACCACACACACACACACACATATGTATATATATATATATATATATATATATATATATATATAATATATATTCCTTCTTTTATACAAGTTTCAATTAAAACGACTGACAAGGTACCGTGAGTCAGCTTTTTATTCAATTTATCATGTGTTCGTATATGTAGACATAAATTATGTAAAAACTGCCCGAATGGTCTCTATACATCCTGTTGTCTATCCTATTAGCCATCATCAAGGAATTTTTTTTATTTTTAGTTTTTATGTAAATGTGTAGATTTTTATATATGTCTCTAGAATGATGGCATTTTTTTTCATATACGGTGAGTACATTGTGGCCGTATAGTAGATGTTACTGAAAGTTTAATTTTTTTCTTTTTTTAAACAATAGTGCTTTGTAGAGGGTTCATGGCGGTTATGTTGTTGATAGAAGTCAGACGTAGAAGAAACGCATGTAAGGTTTTAGATACTCCTGCCCGCCGAGCCCAACTACATAAAAAGGTTGGACTTTGATTAAGTCCAAAGAAGAAGGCAAAGAAAGCAAACAAAACACAAGACCGATAATATATGTATATACAAATATATATTAATAACAAGTTACAATACATGGAAACAGTACAAAGGACGAAGTGTGTGTGAATATTCTGTATGTGCGTGCGTGTGTGAATATTCTGTATGTGCGTGCGTGTGTGAATATTGTGCTTAGCGTGTTTCCACGCTATCCCTTGTTAGCGACTACATTTCGAGGTTGATAGCTGAAAATCCTGAAGGAAAAAGAGATAGAGGCGAAGAGTCAGCGGCTATTTATAGCCAGGGAGGAGAGACCCCTGGTGAAAGGGTTAACGGACTGAAGGAGGAGTTAACTCCGACAGCTTCTTTTTACATGTGGATGAGGCTATTATGATTGTATTTTCTACATGTATATTACGCAGCTTTTCTTTAAAGAACTGAGCAGCGTGAAACAGACGCTAATTAATTACGGATTTCTCATAGATCACCAATTAAGACTATTTCTTTTTAAAGTAACCAACAGCAACACTGAAAATACAGATAAAAACATTTTCTATAAAGATCAATTCTATGTTAACGATAAGGGGGATAAAACTTGCATATCTATCTCAAACAGTTCATCTACCTTTCTATTTATATATCTCCCTCTTTCTATCTATCACTGTCTGTATTTTCCTACACAACCGCACACACACACACACACACACACACACACACACACACACACACACACATATAT